TATATATAAATATCTCAAAACCCCTCTGTAAGTTTCAGTTTAAAAACCGAGTATTTGAGTGAAGGGATATTTAATTACCTTCATAACCATACCATACCTCTTTATTTTTAAAGCACTTAAAACAGCTACAAGGCCAACCAAAGTGCTGTACAGACAGAACAACAGGTAACACACAAAGCAAAGTACAAAATGAGGTAAATCAGAATATAGACATCAAAACGATGCAGATAATGACGACAAACCAGTGTGGAGCATACAGGATCAAAACACAGATCATCTGGTGTTGAAAGCTACTGAATAGTAGTGAGTTTTTAAACGGGACTTGAAAACGTACAGTTCTGTAAAAACAACTCCAGAAGTCAGTAAAGATTTTTCTTTTTTTTTTTTTTTTTTCATTTAGCCTTTATTTATCCAGGTTAGTCTCATTGAGCCACGAGAACTCATTTGCAAGAGAGACCTGTTTTTTAGGGAGCACATGGTGGGGGTTAAGGGCCTTGCTCAGTAAAGCTAAATTAAATATTCAAACCTTTGTGTACAGACATCAGTCAAATGGTATTTTTCATTTCACTGGGTTGTATGATCTGCTTTACTCTTCACTGTTTGTATTCAAATGAGATTGAGGGGAAATGGTTTTGAAACTCTGTCTGACATGTGTTACCAGTGTTTACCAGAAGCATCCCTGTCATGTCATCCTGATAAAGACTGAAGTCAAAGAGTTACAGATCTTTTCCTTCTTTTACTTTTCGCTTCTAATCCTTCCTTCCTGCCTGCCCTGCGACGGAGCTTTGGTGTGACAACTGAGAGCTGGTAGATAATGAGGTGAAAGTGAGAGAATTACAGGGACAACATGTCTGTGAAAAACAGAAAGATGAAGCTTCTGAGTAAAAGGATAAAAAGATTTGAGGAAACTGGAAACTGAAGTTTAACTTAATACTTTTATGTCTGTTTTTATCTATTTCAGTTTTCTACTGAGCTTATTTCTACTTTATTACGCCTTGCTGCTGATGACAACCAAAACTGGAGGCAGTGGTTTTCCTTTGGTCGTCAGTCCTGTGAATAAACATCTGAGTGGGATATCTGAGGAACACGTTGGCCATAAATCAGCTCCATGACAGAGGCTGAGGAACGTCACATTCACACGTTGGTAGAAACTGTTCGTTCTACTTTTGTCCTTTTTTCTGAATTTCTTACTTTATCTAACCTAGTTTTCTTATATCAATCTTTCTAAAATTTCAAATTTTCTCTAACACCCCCCCCCCCCCCACCACCACCACCACCACCACAACTTTCAAAGATTAAATAAATTATCACTGTCCTCATTACCACCTTCTGGGAGGCTTGTCTTCAGAAAGATGCTTCTATTTCACACAGGAAGCAACTTGCACATATATTGTTATTTTATGTTGTGTTGCTTCACTAATGTGAACTGTTAGTGATGCATGATGTGATACAGGAAGACACTTTGTGCCAGACCTAATGTTTAGTTTATAATTTGTATATTCACATGTTTTTATTGCCTGTTGCTGAAGGCAAATAGGCAATAATGCTTTTGCCCATGTCGGCCTGTGTGTGTGTGTGTTTTTTTTTATTTTTTTTTTGGGGGGGGGGGGGGTATTTTTGCAGCATTAGCAAAAATGTTCAGACACCACTGGACATATTTTCAATTAAGCGTTTTGAAAGTAATAATTGAATGTATAACTGTTAATTTTGGAGTCACCCCAATGCAAAACGGCTGCCACAGCCATAAAAATCATTGTATTGCAATCAGTTTTACAGATATTGAACTAGCATTTGGTGTGGTAGTAGCTGAGGATTATCCTTTACACATTCTCTAAACACGCCTCTCACAAGATCTTGCAGTTTTGCACGAGACTGCACGTAACATCATTTACAAGGTTCGACCAAAATATCGGTGTCTCCTTTCTCTACGTAAGACGTTAGCTCCAAACTGTCACGAACGTTAGCAGGTTTGTACTTCCTGTCACTGTGTTCGATAGTATAACATTAAAACAGCTGATGTGTCAGTATGGAAATTGAAGGCGGACTTCTGGAAAACACAAGTGGAGTCCAGTTGTGGTGCACAGAATCCATTTTTTGCCCTGGCAGCTTTAGTTTTCACAGTGCTGAAATCCTGTCAGCTCGTTGGAACATACAGGAACAGGAGTGACGGCTCTGACAGCTTTTCTCTCTGCATCTCTCTCTTTTCATTTTGCACTCTCTGTTTCTGCTCATCTCTCTCTACTGGTCTATTCAGCTGCTCCACCGGCTAAATCCTGATCCCTCGTCTCTTCTTTTCTTCTCTTTATGCTCCCTCCATCCTTTTCTGTAGATGCTCTGCTGAATTTTGGCCCGAAGTCTCCGGGTTTAGAGCTACCAGACTGAAGGGGGAGAAAACATGCAGACGACTTTCTATGGGAACAACCGCAGGACAAATAGATAAGCAAAGGACTGGTATAGGAATACACAGGACCAAAATTAATTGCAACTTCAGTAACTAAAACACATGTTATGATGTTTTGTGCTTTTTATACAAGTATGAATCAAGTCAAAGTATTTATAAAGCACATTTAAAAACAGCAGGTCATGACCAAAGCGCTGTGGGGCGGCTGTGGCTCTGTGCTTAGAGCAGTTGTCCTCCAATGAGTGTGTTGGGGGCTTAAATCCACCAATACAGTGACATGTTGAAGCGTCCCTGGGCAGGACCCTTCATCTCCTCCTACCTATGTGTGTCCCATTGATGTCTGAGTGTGATTCGTCTCTATAGAATGATTTAGTCAGATTAGCTTTGGAGCAATGCAGTAGAGTGCTGTATGGATGTGTATGTGGATGGATAACGAGGACACAGCTTGAGTTGTTACATGCTTTGAGTATCCTGGCTGGATGAAAAGCCTCTATAACTTTTTCAATAATACTTGTATGAAAGTCAAGAGCAAAGGTAAAAACAGTAAATACAACAAATAGTTACAGTATGCATTCCCCAAAATATCACTTTGGAGAAAAGGAGACAGAGCCTGGGCAGCACGGTGGCGCAACTGGTAGAGCTGCTGCCTCTCAGCGAGCAGGTCCTTGGTTCAAACCCCGGTCCAGGGGCCTTCTGGGTGGAGTTTGCATGTTCTCTCCGTGCATGCGTGGGTTTTCTCCGGGTACTCCGGTTTCCTCCCACAGACCAAAAACATGCATGTTAGGCTGATTGGTAACTCTAAATAGTCCCTAGGTGTGAGTGAGAGAGTGAGTGTTTGTTTGTCTCGTGTGTCTCTATGTGGCCCTGTGATGGACTTGCGACCTGTCCAGGGTGTACCCCGCCCCTCGCACAGTGATTGCTGGACATGGGCACCAGCGACCCCCGTGACCCAAAATGGAATAAGCGGGTAAAGATAATGGATGGATGGATGGAGACAGAGCCTTTTCAGCTCTGGCTAAATTGTAGAATGAGCTGCTGCTGAAGGTCAGGTAGGCCCCATCACTTTCTGTTTTTAAAACTCATTTAAAAACACATCCCCCCCCCCCCCCCCCTCCAAACCTAGAGTGAGCTAGCATCTATGTCTTAATGTTGTACTCTTTCCTTGTACTTGTGATGTTTTGATGTCTATTTTCTTACAGTTGTCGTTGTTTTATTGTTGTTCTTTGTTTTTATTTTTGTACAGCACTTTGGTCGGCTGCTATGTTGTATTTTAAGTACTTTAGAAATGGTATGGCATGGTATGGTATGGTATGGTATGGTATGGTATGGTATTGTATGGCATGGTATGGTATGGCATGGCATGGTATGGTATGGTATGGTATGGTATGGTATGGCATGGTATGGTATGGCATGGTATGGTATGGTATGGTATGGCATGGTATGGTATGCCTTGAAGGAAAGCATATCATCTTCTGCCTTTAATGTGAGACTTTTAAACTGAAATCATTTTTGAAAGAGAAACGATGGAGTTCTAGTTGTTCTGAACAAACCTTGTAAATTACGTTATGCGTGTTCTCAAACTGTAAAATCTCATGAGATGTATGAGCACTCAGAGTAAATCATGGGGATGACCCTCAGATGCTAAAACACCCAGCTTTAGATCAATATTTGTAAAAATGACTGATTTGAAACCATTTATGTGTTGACGAATGACAAGTAGCTGTGGCAGCCATTTTCATTTGTATTAACTCCAAATGTTCATAAGTATTAGACATCCATCCAATAAGTAATTTTTTAGAGTTTTATTTAGAACTGTCAATTGGCACACGCACGCAGACAAAGGTCAAAACATTATCAACCCACCTTCATCAGCCAGTGACAATAGTTATAGATACATAGATAAATCCAATCTTTACTTACTCTGTGGAAACTTCGGAGGGTTGTCGTTGACATCTGTGAGAGTGATTTTAACCTCCGTGGTCCCTGACAACCCCCCCATGTGACCCCCCATGTCTTTGGCCTGGATGACAACATCATACTCCTGGCGCGCCTCACGGTCCATGTTTGGCAAAGCAGTTCGGATTATACCTGAAAAGACAGACACAATAAATCAAAACTATGTTCAAAGGTTTTATTTTAGACTTGGATGATGTTGGATTATTACAAGATTCTGAAAGGTCCAAATAACTGACGTTATTATAAGACCAAGACTGGAAGCAACAGGAGTGATCTGAGAATTACCACCTATATTTAAATTAAGCAAAACTGGAAAAATCCAAGATACCTATCCAAAGACAGTTTAACATTTGGAGGACTGCTTGAATCTTGGCTTTATTGGCTTCAACAGCTGAATGTCATCTGCATAAAAATGGTTAGGAATATAATGATATTTAATAAGCTGGCCAACAGAAAATATATAAACAAGCAATGTCCCCCATCACAGAGGGATTTGAATAGGAAACGTTATTATTTTTCAAGCTGAGTGTTTTTCTGTACTGGAATTGAACAGGGAAGACAAGTACAGTAAACCTTAATGTTTTTGGTGCAAGACATTCAGGTGGGTAAAAGTTACACTGTGTATAAAAACAGAGGTAGTTTTGCATTTTTATTTTTTTTGCTTGTGTATGCAACACAGTGATGGATTCTGATGAGTTGAGGGAGAAATTTTATCCACCACCAGATGCAAAGGTAGAGCCAAGGGGTGGCCACTGGTGGCCTTGGTCATCATAGATTAATGTTAGGGTACCCCAAGGGCCACCCCAATCATTTGAGGAAACTGTTCTTTTAAGCAATATAAAAACTAGAAAGCATCGTTTCCTCAAATGGTCGTCACTTTATACACATACAGTTTATATATATATGGTGGTGGTGGTGATCTTTCTTACACCCAGATACAGCCACATATCTAAATGAAAGAGGGTACCTCACTTATTTTTGAAGTTAGAATCAGAATCAGAATAAGCTTTATTATCAATGTATCGAGATACAACGAAAATATGTCTGTACAGTCATCCGAAAGGTGGGCGGAGTCCACGTAGCTGCTGCTCTTTCAGAGCACAGCCTTCTTATCCTTGTCAGAATACATTTTTTTAAATAGAAAAGGGGACAAAGCCATGAGGAGAGGATAGTGGCATTACACAACAACAAGAAAAAAAAGATCTCTTCACACCATGTCCTAACAGGACGTGATTTAAGACATCAATTAAACTCTGCCAGCAAGCACATTTATGAACACGTTACATATGCATTTGACAACAAGGCGGTCTATGAAGCACTAACAGATAGTCCATTGTTCTGATAAGATGATGGTCAGCCGGCACAGTTCTGATAAGCCTCCACAGAAGGTGTGTGTGTGTGGGTGGGGGGGGGGGGGGGGGTGCAATAGATGGAGCTTTTTCTTAGTTTACACATTTCCAAGGAGAAATTGATAAGTCGGCCTGTTTCGAAGCCAACCGGTGGCATCAGATTCAGATAATCCACTATTGTTGATTTATTCAGGCAGACTATTTTTCTTGTCAGCCTTGAGTCTTACTGATACTTTCAAGGTCTGAAATAGCCAGATTAGGGTGCATTCTACTGGTCTGTGCTTACAAGCCTCTTCAAGATTCTTTCATGCTGATGAGTCCCAAAGCCGCAGGTGGCCTGCAATTCAAATCACTTCCATCTCATGGTTTAGCTCATAAATCAGCTGATTTTGAGTCCTCAAAGCACAAACCAAACCTTCACATAGGCAGTAGCCTGACGAGGTCCAAATTAGCGGCCGTCTTCTTTGTATGTTGATAAACCAGGAACCAGACTATTCCAAAAACAGGAAATCTGTTATCATAAATCCAATTATATGCAATTTCGATGTCCTCGATCGACATCAGAGGTAGACCCATCACATACCACTTCCCCAGAGATATATCCAGCTGCACGTGTCGTCTGTGCAGACATAAGGGTTCTCCAGGACCCTATCACTTTGTCGAAAAGATTTTGTCATTTGCGTCGATAGTTCAGTTAGTCAGATCCATATCAGTAGTTTTCATTTTGGAAAATGTGTAAAAATAGGAGCTCTGATGCACAGAGAGCAAAAAAAGCAGGAGGAGAACAGGGAGAGGTAAGGGAAAGCGTACGCCTCGTACCAGAGCAAGTGAAAAAAACAAAATCATGCTCACGTGGACAGACGGATGGAGGTTATTTCCAAATCTCCCACTTTGCTCCTCAAAGGGGGACAAAGAAAACTAAAGGGAGCAGGTAGATGAGGGACATAGTTTATTATAGAGCCCAAATGATAAATGAGTCAATTAGTATGATCAGCCACTTTCTGCCTGTTTAGGATTGTAATCATCATACTTGACTGCCTGTGAGCACTAAGTGGAAAATAGGAAGTAGTTAAATCAGTGTTTTGTTCAGCAGCACTTTGTTGTTTCCAACCTGGACTGCAGAAGGTGTAGCAGAGTTTGTGACATGGCATTTTGTTCATGGCAACTTCTCAGCTTATTTGTGAGAGAGAAAAAAAACGTTGGAAAGTTAATAAACAGTTTAACTACCAACATAACTGTATGTAACGACCTAATAAAAAGATTAGGTTATTCCTGTGAATACAACAAATTATTTAAGGTGTTTGTTTAAAATCCAAACTTTTTAACAGTCATAACCAACGTAAATACAAAAACTAGAAAACTTTTTCCATTTATTATTTCAAGCCCCATTTATTTTTAAGCCATGGCCCACCGCTCTGTCCGCCTCTCCATCCTTCTCTTTATGTCCAGCTGCAGTGTCACCGAGGCTCTCTGGTGTCATATTATGTGAAGTGTGTGACAGCATGAAAAGCTGATAATCTCCAAACCAATTAGAAATGTGAGCTCTGGATCCGAGCCAGTCAAATACCCAGCACTGGTTTGATTAGCCAGATTTACTCTGCACAAATCTCTCCAACTCCCTCTGCCCTAACCACAGTTTCCATGAACTCACTCTCTCTGAACCAATTTTCTTCCTGTTTTATTCCCTAACCTCTTGCCTGCAGTTTGTTCCCACTCCCATTGACCGAACGGAGCTCTGTTTCTGCCCTAACCTCCCTGCCTTTATCCAATTTCTGCTTTTAATTCAAACCCAAACATTAAGCTTTTGCTCTGCAGGGACCAGGCTGAATGTCCTCTGGGACTTCCTTTAACAGCCGTGCCTTCTTCACTTCACCAGTTCACCCTGCCGTTCATGCCAGACTGTTAAACTAGAATCATCTCGTGATGAAAAAAAGACTCAAACCTTGTAAAGAATGTTATGCTTAATCTCATGCAAAATGGTAAGATCTCCTGAGACGTGTTAGCACTGGATGTGTTGAAGATGGCTCAGCTACAACTTCAAACGTTATATGTGTTGGACTGTTGAAAGGCATTTTTGTGTTTTTGAAGGTCAGTTAGCTGTGGTGACCACCTTGAAGTGGGTTTACTTCACAAGTTGATGAGTTCTAGTTGTTCACTCAATGATTTATTATTGAGGTTTATTAAAACCCATTCAATGGTTTATGAGATCACTTAACCCTACAGACAGGTTGTTCTTTTTCTTTCGGCTGCTCTCTTCTTCAGGGGTCGCTACAGTGAACTATACATGAAGACTTTACAGTTGTTGCCGGATGTCCTTCTTGACACAACCACAGATCACCGAGCTACCACAGCCCTCTGTGTGGAGCAGAGTGCTGCTGTCTAGGGCATCCAGGGGAGCAAATGGTGGGGGTTAAGGGCCCAGAGTGGGGCAAATGATGGTGGAAGCAGGTGTGGGTGCTTCACCTTTCCCACCCACATTTTGATGTTGTCGGTACCGGGAGTTTAACCGGTGATCTTCCGAGTACAGGCTCACCTTCTCTAACGTCTGTGCCACCACTCCCTTAAAAACTATACCAGCAGGAGCTTTGCTTCAGGTGGGACACCCAAGCTGGGCAGGTCTTAGAGTAGAGGCCTGACAAAGCACAATCCATTTTTGTGCAGTTGGACACAGTTTATTTATTCCATCCATCCATTCATCCATTATCTTTTACTCACTTCTTCCATTTTGGGTCACGGGGGTCGCCAGTGCCCATGTCCAGCATTCACTGTGTGAAGGGCGGGGGACACCCTGGACGGGTCGCAAGTCCATCACAGGGCCACATAGAGACAAACAAACATTCACTCTCTCATTCACACCTAGGGACAATTTAGAGTTACCAATCAGCCAAACATGCATGTTTTTGGACTGTGGGAGGAAACCGGAGTACGCGGAGAAAACCCACGCATGCACGGAGAGAACATGCAAACTCCACCCAGAAAGGCCCCCGGACCGGGATTTAAACCAGGGACCTGCTCACTGAGAGGCAGCAGCTCTACCAGTTGAGCCACTGTGCTGCCCATTTTATTTCATTTCATTTGATATTTTATTTCATTCACTCAATAATAAATATAGTCCATGTAATAACTAGAATAAATCATGAATGAAAAGGATCAGAATGAAATATAAACTTTTATCTGTCCCCTATTCACATAAAAAGAAAATTAGTTTCAGCTCAGAAGACTATTACAGACATAATTCAAGTACACAAAATACACACAAAAAAACAACAACAAACCCCCCCCCCCCCCCCCACAACAAAACATCAGCTTATCCAACGCCATATCACTTTATCATAATGATTTTCAAATTTCTTTTATTTAGATTGTTTTATCTCACTGTCAAGATTGTTCTATAAACTGACACCTTTAATTAATATGCATCTTTCTATCGTCGCCGTTCTGGATCTAAACTTTTTGAGAATTTCAGCTTTTAGCTATTACCCCATTCCCATGAAGAAACCACAAGTCAACAATAACAATGAATATGCTGCAGCATAATGTATACGGATGAAGATGCCCTCTTCACATTTCTGTCTGCCCCCTCTTGTAACCATGCGTAGAACCGGCCCTGTTCTGGCTGATAATAAGGTCGGGAGAACAGATAGTGAACATCTTATTAGTGATGTGTTTCTGGGAGCTCAGCAGGATGAGGGAATACACTGCAGGGAGGACTCCTGGCAGCAACCTCCACATGCTGGGACTTTTTATCCTGTTTGGTTTGCTCTGTATTTGAGTGGAGACAGGAGCTCCTGGAGCTCTGGTTGTGGACCATCACAGTAACTTCAGAGAAAACTCTGTCCATCACACAGATACAGAACTGTTCTAACACATTGAGTTCTGTCTGCTCGCCACATTAACTCCATTTTTGCATTTTGCTGGATAAAGAATTTGATGTGCAGCTTTGTTTGTTGTGCATCAGAGACTTCTTCGTTACCACTACAGAGGAACAAAATGGTGAGATAGACTCCATCGATGAGGACCAGTCGGATCAGGAGCAGCTCCGTGTGCACCATGTACCAGCTGTGCATTGTGTTGTTGCTGCATTAATAACTCATTTTGTGGTTTGCTTGCATTGTTAAATAGAGGATATGTTAAATTGTTTATTTTTCTTTAAATTTTTGGCTTCATTTTATCGCAGCAGTCACACAATCTGCACTGACAAAATGATTATACAATGTGACGACTTCATGGGGAATTTAGGTACAACCTGTACAAAAATACACTGAAATTGTAGTTGTTCATGAAACTGAAGGTTAAATATCCTATTTAGATTTTTTAAATTATTTTTTATTTTATAGTTTGATTTTAGTTACATTACATGATGACATTTTACAGAAACAGGTTCTGTGAGTTACTGCTACAAACTCAGTGTGGAGTAATGAAGTTACATGGTGTACCTGAACACACCACGAAGACAATTCACTGAACACATTTATTTAAGTAATCAGAAGTGCATTGCTGCATATTTGATCTAAGTGGAAGGCCCAGTTGTAATGGTGCACGACTGGTTTACCATGATTGTAAAGGTGGGCAAAGATGTCTTAGAAAATTTTTATTTAAACATTTTTGGAACAATTTCAGATGACTGTTTCCCAACAGAAAATTGACATTACTTTGAATATCCTTCATAATATCATTTAAAAAAAATCAGGAATATAAAAAAAAATGTCTGTGAGCAACGGGCGTTAAAATTGGATGGTCTTCGGTCCCTCCAGGGCCTCTGCAATAAAAACAGGTTTAATTCTGTTATGAACATCACTGCATGGGCTCAGCAGCACTTCCACAAGTCACAGTCAAATCATGTCAGCAAGACAATACCAAAGCTCAAACTGCATCGGTGTCAGCAGCGTGGCTGTGTAGTCAAAGGATCTGGGTGCTGGACTGACCTGCCAGCAGTCCAGACCTCGGACCACCAGTTTGCACCATGAAACCAAAAGTCCAGTAAAAAAGACCTAGGGCCATTGCACAGCTAGTGTGAGGATAAGTGTTCCCTAACCTTTTCTCCTCGTGTGGTCAGCTCTTCTCCTACTGCTCCCACTTGTTCCTAATTGCCTTTCTCCGGGTGTTTGTCTATAAGTCAGCGTCTCTGTGTTCCTCCTTGTCTGTGCATTGTCCTGTAAGGTGTCGTGTTTTCTGTCTCCCTCCGTGTCCTATCATCAGTGTAAGTTTTGCTGCCACGTCAGTTTTTGTTTTCTATTAATAAATGTTATTCTTTATTTTACCATGCAAGTTCCCTGTGTCTGCCTGCACCCTGGGTTCAACACCTATAACCAGAAATATGACAGATAGACACCTCCATTAGATTAGAATAAGACAATAGTTTGTTTAGAAACTGAAACAACTCATGTCTTTAGTTCCTGGAGGTTTGCAGACTGTTTTTTTTACAGAGGAGCAGATGCTTTACAGAGGAAACATGGTCCTGGAACCTAACAAGGTTGAGTCAGGTCCTTTGGAAAGATTCTTCTTTGTTTAAATATCCTGATGCATAATCAATAATCCAGGTAGAAAAATCTAAAAAAGTTAAGTCTGGTCCTCTGGACGGATTCATAAAAATAAAAAATTGTAGAAACGTACCATCTTTCATCCGAAAGACTTCTTCAGTCTGACTGAACCAAATGACTGAAGAATCTTTCGGATGAAAGACGAAACGTTTCTACATTTTTTTTGTTTTTTTTTTAACCCATCCAGAGGACCAGACTTAACTTTTTTAGATCTTTGTTGAAATGTTGACATGAGCATGGACTTTGTTGTTACTTTACAATAAGGTACCCAAAATTTGCTTACATACTAGAGAATGCCTAAGGAACAAATCAGGAGTTAATGGGTAGTTAACCAGTACTTACTGGGGAACACAGAGACAAGCCTTATTAAAGGACTACTGGTTAGTTACCTGGTAAATAAAGAGGAACTAATGAAGAACTAATGGGTAGTTACCAAGGAAGCCAAAAAGGAACAAATCAGGAACTAATGGGTAGTTAACCAGTACTTACTGGGGAACACACAGCCACGCCTTATTAGGGGACTATTGGTTTGTTACCACAGAAACAGAGGAGAAATTCTCCATGTGGGTTCTGAATCAACCCCGCACCAGTGAGGTCACAGCTCATAATGGTCAAAAAACCTGTTTCCTAGTGATTACTGATTTTATTACCCATTAGCTCCTGATTGGTTCCTTTTCATTTACAAGGTAACTAACAAGTAGTCCCCTAATAAGGCTTGACTTTGTGTTCCCCAGTAAATACTGGTTAACTAGTCATTAGTTCCTGGTTCATTTCTCTTTGGTTTCCATGTTAACTACCTACTAGTTCCTGATTAGTTCCTCTTTATTTCACAGGAAACTAACCAGTAGTCCCCTAATAAGGCTGGGCTTTGTGTTCCTGAGGCGTTCTCTAGTAGTTAATCAAATTTTGTGTACCTTATTGAAAAGTGTTACCCTTTCAACAGATACATTACTGCCACCAAATAACACAAAAATCCCTTTTTGAAAATAAATAAATGAATATTCGATATATTTACTATGTTCTATTGTGAATAAAAAACATGTTCAAGATTTTCAAACCTACAAACTTTATTTTCGACAAACTCCATGTATGTTCTTAGAATTGTGGTTGTACATCGAAATGCAGACATCTTCATCTTCTTTCATCCAGAGTGTCTCACAAATACAGGGTTTACAGTTTTAACTCACATTTCTCCAGAAGACAGCGTGCTCTGTCAAGGTTCACAAACTCTGGTTACATTTGAGCTCAAAGCTCTTGAAACCTGGAAGTGAAGGCTCTTTTTGACTTGATGCATCTCCTACAGAAAATAAGACTTTACACGTGTGACCATCTCGTGCTCATGGTTCAACAGTTTGTACATTTTCACACAGTGAATGTTTTTAGAGGCTTATTTTTCACTCTTCTGTCTGCCTCTCAATAACTTGGCAGTCAGGTGGTGACTGATGCAGATGTGTGGTTACCACGGTGACCATAATGAGCCACAGGCAGCAGCTTTACTGTTATATCTAATATTATTTCTCCTTTAACTTCTATCTTGTATCAAAATGTCAGCCTTGTTTTATATTATTACAAAGTTTGTTTCAGGCAGCCGTCATGTATCTGGATAATAAATCCATCGAGACTGAACTGTAGATGAACCGTCAGGACAACGTTTTGTTTTCAGTCTTACCTGTCTGAGACTCAACAGAGAAGTATGGTTGTCCCTGCAGTATGCTGTACACCAGCCTGGCGCTGTTGCCGTAGGTGGGGTCATCGGCATCTGTAGCTGTCACCTGCATCACCGACGTACCTACAGGACAGACGAGACAGGTGAGGCAGGAGGAGACCACCTCAGTGATCCGCTTCAAGAGCAGTTTGACAAACAGGCTTGTTACTGAGCCTCCGACGGGCTGCCTGCCATCTCCAGCTGAGTAGAAATAACACACACACACACACACACACACCATGGTTTGCTTATGTCCAAATTGG